CGCAGAGATGTCTCCTGAAGAGCCGCTCTCTCCACAAACAACTCCTCCTCGGGGACTTTTATTTCAAGGTTCCTGACTGGTAAAGTAAATGAGCCTCACGTTAAAGACCAGCTACATATCAAGCCAAGGCAAACGCCCCGTCCACGAGGACAGCGCTTTCAGAGGTTTTCAGAGGCAATCACTTACTTCCAGGCACAAACATCGTATGCTAACTGACACCCAAAGCTCCATGTTTACCTCCGTATTTTATCCTTTATCCACCGACGCTTTGCCTTCCCATCAGTGCAATAAGGAAAAGTCACTTTGAGGAGGAGCATTAGCAATATCTCCCTGACGCTGACATCGAACAGATTTAAGTCTCCTCAGGGAAACGATGGAGGCCTCATCACTCGAGATCCATCAAACTAGCCCAGACCAGGTCCCAGCGAACGCACTGCAGGGAACAATTCTGCGCTGCATGGGAAAGGTAATCGCTTTTCCCCTTTCTGGCGACTCTGAAAGCTCTGTGGTTGGGTAGGAATTATGTTTATTAAATCACCTTCACCTGGAGGTGTATCAATAACATACTCGATAAACACACGATTACCGGGAAGTCACTACTAATGAAGCGCCGCACCGCCATGGAGAGGCAGCGACGACGTTCCCCAGCAGAAGCACGACGGCGCTGGCAACGGGATTTGCGGGAAGCTCCTCGGAGGCGCAGGCCGATCCCAGGGAGGAGCGCCAGGCGGGAGCGCGGGCAGGAGGACACGCGCCCTCCCACACATGTGCCCACTCGGAGCAGCCGGCAACAGCTGGCGACTCGGGGCCAGAAAGCCGGGATCTGAGATGGTGGCTACGTGGGAGCAAGCCTGATCCGTGTTTCTGGTGGACAGTCTTCGTGTCACCGGCTCTGCCAGGCCGGGGTGTTACCCCGACCGCGAGGGGCTGCCGAGGCTCCCCGTGCTGACGGGGGCACCAGGAAGCCTGCCTGATCCTTGAGGGCCACCTGGATTTGTAAGTTTTTCCTGAAACCAGTCGAATCCCAAACACCAGCCTGATAACTTCCCTTTTAACGCTTGGAAAAAGAATACAAAAAAAAACCCAACAAAACAACAAAAAAAAAACCCTTCCCCAAAACAAACTTCCAAGCCGCTTCCCTTTGGGATTTCTCCTCTCCTTGCCCTGACGCTGCCCTTTTGTACAAAAACATCTCCAGGGACTAAGCAAACCAGCCCAGCTAAACCATACGCAGGACCCCCCCGTCACAGCAAGAGCGCGGCAATCGGAGGGGCCGCGTCTCCAGCCGGGATGCTCCCGCCCGGAGCGCCGTCCCTGCCCCGGGCTCCGCCGCCCCCTCCCCACCGGGCTCTGACTGCTCGCTGGCTGAACACACCTCGCTCCAAACTTCGTCCCTAAATGTGCAGAGGCGGCGACGCTGCCAGCACTGCAGCTGCAAGCATCTCCTTGGAGGGGACAAATTAGCAAACAAACAAAAGAGACGGCCCTGGCAGAGAGGTATCCTTGGGGCTGGAGTCCTGCCGCGCGCGCAGGAACGGCTCCAAAACCCAATGATGTCAGTGGAAAATCTCCCAGCTATCTAATGGGTTTTGGATGGGGCCCTCTGAGACCACCCACTATCTGGAGAGCTGCTGGTCCTCTTAGCAGAACGGGAAAGCTTTTAACTGCCCCTCCCGCGCGCTCGCTGCGCTGCTGAGAGAGCGGATTTTAAGCTGACGCTCCAGGGAGGCAAAACATGGCACTTGCTACCACAGGCAAGTTTCTCTCACCAGGCCATGGCTCAGGGCCTTACCTCACATCCTAGCTGCAAGAAGCGGCGAGGAGAAGGGGCAAACTGGAGGCACAGGGAAAGGCGACGCCATTCGCCTCTGCGCATGTCCTGGCCCCCGGGCAGAGAAAGATACACCAAGCAGTGGGGTTGTATTTGGAGACTGACGCCCAGCCAGAGCCCCCAGCTTCACTGCTGCACCAGGGAGAACCGTGCACCGAAATGCATTCTGCCTGCAACTGTCTGTTAACTTTATCAGATGAGCTATGATGTTTCCGATGATCTTTCCTTCTTCCCCAGAACCGCAGACCTCCAGCTGCCTGTGCACACTTCTAGTTAATGCCAACGTGTGATGGATTTTATGACTGAATTTTGTCTGTAGCACTGTAGCACTGAGGCTGACAGTGGTGCTCCACGGTGTGGTGCTTGGAGACAGCAATGGCAGTGCCCTTAAAAAGGCATCAGCCAAAACCCCTCCTGAGACCCCCTCTCCAAACAGTACAGTTCTCCAGGCCATAAAGGCAGGAATTACTCACAGACCACTGCCCCCGGCATACTAAAAGCTTTCACTCACACACAACCTTGAGATGTGTGATCCGAGGAGTAGGACGCCCTGAACCCCACAGGTCACTCAGTAAAGTGCACCGGCAACTCTGAGCATCGGTGGGAATGCCCCAATAAATGAATGATGGATGGTGTTTCCACCTCCAGCCTGCCTGGGGTGGGAGCGCGAGGAACAAATGGCTTTGTTCGTCGTTCTTCTGCCATAGTTGACGAGAGACAGCCTTGACCCAACCTGTCCAGATCCAGATGCCGATGCAGAATCCCTGCCTCTCCGCATCTTAATGGCACTTGGGATCACGAGGAGATCCTACTCAGGTCTAGGGCTGGATTCATTTGAGTAGACTATACAAGTTCTTACATCCAGGTCAACTCCATTCAGTTATTGCTAAGAAACTCTATTACAGTTTCTCTACCAACACCAGAAGTTAAATCGAGCTTTAATTCTCCGGACCAGTGCTCTATTACTTCGGCTGTACCCTCCTAAATGCATGGAGGCTCTCACCCCCCACAGCTACAGGCAGCTACATTTGGTGTTGGCTCTGTGCTTGTGCACTGATGCAGAAGTTGCCTCCGCACAGCACCTAAGTGGGTAACCTTGAAAATGCAAAGCCGTAAGATGACAAGTCTGGAAGTGCCAGGGCAGGAGAGACTTGAGACGCAGCCTGTGCAGAGGAAGAAAAAGTGCCCACGCTCTGTCACGAAGATCCAGACAACCACCTCCTGATCATCTGGTACTTAAAAGGTGCACCTCTAAACTACCAACATGTTTTACCTGGGAGCCCTTCAAAACTGAAGTGTCCTAGCCGTATGCAGACACCATTAAGTGACCTCTCAGGAGCTAATTCTCTAGTCTCAGGGAAGCCTAAAATATTATAGTTCAATGAGTGCTTTGCCTGTACAAATACTGCAGGATCAGGCCCACCAGCATCAGCTGTTTCCAACAGCCCTGCAGACATTCGCAGAGGGCTGGGCTCCGCTCTCCATAGCGTAAGTACAAATCTGAAGCAGCTCCATTCTCTTCAATGGCATCGTTTTGCATTTACACCAGTACACTGAACACAAAACAGAGCACACCATAAATATTTTAGCTGCTTTTTCAGCTTTGTTATTCTGTTCAAAGCAGGAAACATGACAAACCTTTGATTGTTTTGCTTAATACCAAACAATAATTCAAAGAGAGACAAACAAGCAACATTAAATGATGCCTGTGATATTCAGGAAGAGCTGATGAATTAGAAGAACCTGATGAGAACAGCATGGATCAGAGCTGCACCTTCCCCTCCCGCCTGCGGATGCCGCACATCCCCTCCGCGCTGGTCAGCAGCACTCATCGCGCTGCAAGGCAAGGAGCAACCCTGGCCAGGCTGGATGCGTGGTCAGTCGTGCTAGGGCATCTTATATTTTCTATATTCGCAGCGTGACCTGCTGCCTCCAGAGCGGCAGCCACCAAAGTTAAAAATATTTTTAAAAAACTCCTGTGAATGTAACGATTGTCCAGGCTGCTCTTCCCTTGAGAGTCACCACACTCAAAAGCCACTTACAAAGCAAACAAGTCCAGTCTCCTAGGAGCAGAGACGCAGCCTGGCCTGGCATCGCTCGCCTGGGCACTTCTGCTGATTTCTGCAGTGTCTGGTGGGTAAAACTGCCACCCACAAGCAAGTGTCAGGACTGCCCCGGAATTTGAAAGAAATGATTAATTTCTGTGCCCATTTCTGCCACCAGAAAGCTGGACGTGGACATACGTGCACCCACGCCTCTGGCTTTGCAGCCCTTCCTCTCCGCACATAATCCATCACACTCTCAGCACGGGGTATCTGAGCCCCTTACAGGCGACGCACCGAAAACATCCTGCTTGGGCGTTCAACAAGTTATTTGTGCAGCGCTTAAAGCCTGGATGAAACGACGACACCGCCAAACACGTACGCTACGGTTCTGTGCAAACACGAGGCTGCACGGCGCGTGCATTCATTATTGATGCCCCATGTAAGCAGATGCTGCAAGGCCTGGAGGCTGCAGCCTCAGCCCCGGCCCCAGCCCGGCCGCCCTCCCGCACGCGGTTGCGCACGACTCCCCCGGGCGAGCGTGGAGGGCCTGGCGCGCCCCGGGGCTGCCTCCGTCCGCACTCACCTCCGGCAGCGGCATCCCGTTGATGATGAGGTCGGGCTGCTGGGGGCTCTGCCCCGTGAAGGTGTGGTGGTAGATGTGGTTGGAGCCAGCGTTCCTGCTGTTCTGGTTCTCCACGTTGAGGAAGGTGCTCTCCGACCGACGGCAGCCCAGCGGCAGCGTCTGCTGATGATAGTCAAAGTAGTTGAGGGATGACGTGAGAGAGGAGCAGCTCACAACGTTCATTTTATCCGTCTCTTCCACGTCCCGCGGTACCAGGCGGATATCGTTCTTGCTGATTTTTTTCTTCTTGCTTGATTTCTTTTGATGCCCATAGGAGTACTCTGCAATTCTGGGGGACAGAAGCAAAATGAATAGCTAAAATCATCCCAAACTCTGCCTTGCTAAATAAACACTAAGAAACCCAGAGGGCTTGGGCCCATCTCCATGTAGGCTTCTTAGTCATGCACATTACGTCATGTATTGGGTCTTGTGGCACTATATGGTCTTCACCTTATTATCACATGTATAATGTTTTTAGGTTAGATATGTAAAATAAAGGGAAGGGAAAACGCCTCTGTGTTTTGCTAGCGTTTTTAACTGCTTATATGTAGTTACTAGGAATAAAGTCCAGCCTGCAGAAGAGAAAAATGGAGATGTTAAAATCCATGAACTGAAAAGGGTACCTGAATTCATTTCCATATGTAATAAGGATTTTAAAAGTGATTTAATTTGGTTCCCGTAATGAAAATTCAAAATGAATAGCAGATTTTTTCCCAGTTCATTTTCCATAGCAGTAAATAAAGCAAACCCAGAAGCAGTCCTAGCTGGCAAGCTCTGTTCTATCACACTCCAAAGGCTGCTTGTTTATTAATGTTTTATCCAAATTGCTAGTATTTTGACTATCTCCTGATAATACCTGATAACTTGAAATCTTTTCTCTAACCATTTCCTGTTCCTCACTCCCCCACTACACACACACATCCTTCTGCTGGGAAATGCTTTTGCCTTCTACAGAACAACTGTGTTTTGCAAAGAGAAATGATCCTTTTTGACCCTTTTTTTACTGCAAGCTTATTTTTCTCTGCCTTTCTTTCCCTCTTTGCTTCCCACCTGCCAAAAGAATCAACTGATTAAGTGCCTTGTTTGCCTTCTACAAAGCACTGGAGGAAGAAAGTTACCATAAAACACTACCCCAGAAAATAATAAAAAATACGACTGCACCTTGCATTAACTCAGTATGCTCTGCTCAAAGTGACTGTGGCTCATTTTTCCACAGGGGCCAACAGAACCATAACGAAGGCCCCACAGATGAATATGTGCATGCACAGCGCGAGGCATCCCAGCATTTCCCAGGGAAACACATTAAATTGTACCACAGTCAGAAATATACATGCGAAAGTCGCGAGTCTGTTCCTCTTCTTATTATGATAGCAGCATTTAAAAAGGGGAAAAATCCAATAACTGCAACAGAAATAATAGGATGAATAAATAATACAGTTTATCTCGAAAAGCAAATATTGGACAAATATTCTTGTTCCAAAAAGCTAATTGCCTGAGCATGAAAATGCCACCCAGTTGAACAGCTCTCTCATATAACCTTATGTGCCTCATAAATTAACACATTTTATGAAGACTCTCCAGCAGATGTTGTTAAGAACCTTTAAAATAAAGAAATGGCAAGTCTAAATGCACACACACAACGCAGGGAGGGGGTGCCCGATGATCACAAACACCGCTCAGCCTCTCTATTACTTCTTTACCTCTGCAGCTGACTTCTGCTGATCAGATTCACGCTGATAACAGACCGTGCATTCCCCTGAGTGTGTAAATAAATCAGAGGAACGCAGGGATTTCTGTTGTGCCAACAATCTTTATGCTGCTGACTGGTCTAACAATGCTTGATGAAGCTTTAATTGTTTTGTTTACCTAAATGTTTAAGTTTGGCAATGCGAGATCCCAATTATTTCCTGCAGGCATTCATTTTGCTGTCCTTTCTCTATTGACCAATTATTTAATTAAACTGCACTTCATTAATCCCTAAGCCATCACACTAAACCTAGCGCTTATACATATGTGTGAAGCTGTTAGGGGCATCACCACGATTTGATTTTTATACATTCAGATCCTATTCTTGTTTAATGGGCCGAGCTGGCAAGAAATCCAGTATATTAGCTTTCACTTAAAGCTAGACATCCCATAATACAGCACATAGCAGGCTTTATTTGCAGATGATTTTTCCCCATCAAGCAAAAAGGCTTATAAACGCACTTTATGTTGTGAAAATGGGGTGTAAAGACTGAACTCTCCGTCATTATTTCTGTGTAAATAAAACTTTAAAGACTGCACATCCTCCCGCACTACAGATTTGCCACAGGCGATCATACGTTTCAAAGGTAGAGCAAAATTAATTTCCATTCCTCCCATCTGAAATGACTCAGTGCTGAAGGAATGGAGAAGTCATGGCTATTTCACTAGTAACAGGATTAAACCATTTATGAGGCATTGCAGCTGCTCTTTTATGGCATCTGATTGATATTCATGTGTGGTTAGCGTTTGTCTACTAACTTGTGTAACACAGAGAATAGTAAAAGAGAGACAATAATCGCAGGGCTGTTACATATTCAGGGGACTCCGTTTCACATATTAGCCTTTCATAGCCGCTCGGGCTTCAGACGCAGCAGTGACCTACCTACCCTCCCGCATTTCGGACCCGGCATCGCACCTTCATCTAGGGCAGCAGAACGCCGCGCTGTAAAAACAACCGCTAAAACCACCGCCAAGAGCCAGCCCGGCCGTAACGATCGCAGGAGCGCTGGACACACGGGGGAAAAGGGAATTTTTTTTTTTTTCCCCTTCACTCTTCACTCGGGCCCCCTTGTCATTTGTCACCGGGGGCCGCATCCCCGCCCCCGG